GCCATTGTAACTTTGATTGGTCCCTAAACTGTTGTAAGTCATGGACTACCTGTTTTCTTGGGAGCAAGGCACAACTACAAGAGATGATTTTGTTTACAATTATAGGGAATATTATATTTTCAAATAGTAATATTTTACATTGCAATATATTACTGTAAGCATAAATGATCACATCTTTTCATTATGATTTAAACTGCATAGCCCAGATCAATAAGAGGTAATGGTTCCAGATCGATTTCAAATGTGGAACTATTTTTTTTATTGCATTTGCAATCTCCTTGAAATTGTGAGGGGGAAATAATACATGTCAACAATTCTGCAACTGGATTCTTTATTCAGCAGCTGGCTTTTTGGTTGAATTTCTTAACAGTGTCTGGAACAAAGGGCAAGGAGATAATTTCCAGCCAATGGCTAGAGGTATGGCCACTTTCAAGAAAGCAAGCCAAAACTCTGTATCAACATGATAGAGGAAAGGGAGAGGGAAATGGCTAGCTTGAGACATTGAATCAGAGGTAAGGTGAGGAAATAACAACAATAATGTGTTTATTATGCACCATCACCTAGGCACGGTACATCATAAAACAAAACTAAGCTCCAACAGCAGATCACAAATCAATCCAATAATATTGGCACAGAAGCCAGGAAACAAATACTGGCAACCCAAACTGACAAAACAATAATTAATTTAACAACATCTGACAGAATGGATAACAAAATCTGGCATCAGTGTGCCCGTAAACATGACATGAAGCTAATGTTCCTGAGAATACTGGATTCACCAATAGTTCCCTCCTTCTTTTCCCTTCCCACTTTCCTTTACAGTGAAGCACTACTACTTCTACAAGGATGGCTTCTCCCCATGGAGGATCAAAATTTTAAAGCAGGAGAACAGAAGAAAAAAGCAGACAGAAGAAAGAGAAATTGTGGTGTTTGGTATGCATGACTGCCTATGACTGTCAAGACTCTGGACCTGCCATTGATGGTTGAGATAGGAACCGCCTGCCCATCAAGCAGAATATTTAGATGTGGCATGAGAAATGTGCTCATATATCATTATTTATCATTTCTCTCCTTACTGCTGGTGAAATGATAACATGATTTTTTTTATTATTTACCCTTGTGTTTGTGTATGATTTCAGCAACATGGAATCAATTGTCTTTAAGAAAAAGAAAAGGAGAGGTGGAACACTGACCAGTTAAAAGGGACAAATATGCAATTGTGGAAACATTCCAAAAAATAACATCTACCCAGGGGATTTGAACAGGAACAGACTACCACTATGGATCCAACTTGATATTTCCAATAATTTGACAGTGATTCACTAGCCCAGAGGAAGCTGATTCAGCATAAACACTTACTTCCACCTCACATTCTGGAACAACACTGGGCATCATGCAATCACCCAGGAGACAAGGATTGGTTTAAATACATCCCTACTACGTTGTCGAACTTAATGAGGAAGATGCAGTGTAGCATTCAACCATTTATCAATTGGAACCACATAAAAGTGAAAGCCTAATTGCTAGTTATAAAAGTGAAAGGGTGCTTGCTTTTAAGTATAATTAATTAGAGAACTGTAGACAAGAAAATGGATGGCAGTGTTGCAAGCAGGTAGGATTAATTTTATAGTGCAAAGGTCCCTTATTCCACCCTTACATAGCTGCAAGTTGTTTGAAGGAATAAATAAAATAGTCCTGACCTTTATTTCCTCCTTTTGCATGATTAATTATTTAATATCCCATTAATTGAAAAATGAACTTGAATTTCAGAAGCATTCATTTTGTTCAGCATAACAGTCTATCGAGAAAGCACCAATTGTGCTGTTTATCAAAGGTGAACAGACAAGGTCATCTAGGCTGCACCTTTCCAGTTATTCATTATCTTGTCCACAGTAGTAATTAACAATGAAAACATTTCCATAAATCAAAATCCTAGTAGTATTCACAAACTAAAGAACAATCAGAAGGTCCATCTTTTTTTTCTTACCCTTCTCCACTGCCTTAGAAATAAAAACATTTTTTGAAGTCACATATATTGTATATGTACGATAATCCAAATATATGGCTGTTTATTTCTTTATTTTCATTGTTATATCAATAAACTTTGTGGCAATATTCCCTACCATGCTAGCATAATACTTTGAAGGTGGCTATTAAAGTACTATAATGGCATTGTAAAATCTCAACCGAAAGATAAACAGAAGATTTGGACTAGGATGCCTATGCATACATATACAGTAACATCTGTCTGCAACTGCCAAATTAAGCATGCCCTTTCCTAGGAGATTGCTGTATCTATCCAGGTATATCAATATATCAATTTAGGAAGGGACCTCCCAACAATGGGTTATGGACCAGTACACCCTATTAGAAACCTGTTGCACAAGCGGCAGATAAGCGAGCAAAGCTTCATTTGTGCATGAGTGGGACCTAGGCTAGGTTGTGCACAAAACCATCCCCACTGCCTGGTCCGTGGAAGACAATTTTTCTTCTGAAATCAGTCCCTGGTGCAAGAAAGGTTGGGGGTGGCTGTCCTTAGGAATCAATGGGAACACAACTTTGCTTTCACTCTTTGAAAAAGTCTGTTTCAAATCTGTTATCAGGAAGCATAGATACAAGCTTTCCAATTTATGCAAACTCTCTGAATTGCTCAGGCAAAAGATTAGAAGACAAAGAGAGCACCTAATCTCTTTAAAACTCTCTTTCAATTAGCTCATATTCCCTATAAGGTTATCTTAACGTTCTGCATTACATTTTTTTAAAAAATCCTTGCTGATTCCCTCCCTCCCCCCCCCCCCCCCCCCCCGGGATGTTCCACACCATTTAGCAATATCAGGATGTTTTGGGTGCTTGGCAGCCTATATGCCGAATGCATAGTCAGGAAAAGTGACAGGATTTGTTCTTTGTAGTTACCCTTTATGGAGCAACAAGCTATTATTCTTAAATGTAAGTGAATGTAGTACATTTGAACCAGATTGAATGACACATTCAGAATGTAGACATATGCCAAGGTTTGGCAGTGCTGCCCCAATTCACAGAATCTTCACACTGAAGCTCAGCCCCCAACGGGACACAAAAGCAAGCAAACAGTGCAGAAACCTCACAAATTTAGGAAATCAACCAAATCAACATTGTACTTAGTACTTCTAAAATACAACAGCTGAACAAGAAGTACAATCATGCATGCAGAACTTCATATTAGCTCTGCCTGTAAAATAAAGCCTAGCACAACAGAGATACAGCTCATCCATCCATTTGTATGAAGTTGAGCACTTTAAAAGAGAGAGAGAGAAAAATTCCCAGGCAAGCTGCCAAGCATATAGATAACTGCTTCTTTCCTCCAACACTCCTCTCCTATATTCCCCATCCAACTCAAAATCAACTGCAACAGGACTAGATTTGGCTGGAAAATATTTGAAAAATAATAATACATACAGCAGTCCAATCAGTGCCCTGAGCAGTTAAAACTTAGAACAATCCAGAGAATGCCATTTGAAACAACTAAGCTTTGTTTCATGCTTGGGGAAAAAAGGTGTGTTTTGTTTCAATTTCAAAACCAAACTGTCAAAACAATTTTTGTTTCACAAATACAATACTTAGAATAGCTGTTTTGCAGCAGAAATCTTTTGCACATCCCTGGTTTAGGAGGAATTGCAGTTAATCGATCTCTCAGATATAAGCATTCATATTCTTTCATTGCTGTGGAGTTTGTGCAGTATAAATTACAGTCACATTTTTTGTTGTTAGCTTCAAAGTGCAACAGCTTTAATTATTTCATTTTTAACTGCTTTGAAGGTGAACAGCTAATTTTTACTGTATTCTATTTCAAAATTCAAATGTGAATGAATTAAGTCAATTGTCTGCCAAGCATTTTGTTTGATTTCTATGTTACTTTTCTTTCAGAAACTAAAGGAAAAAATATATAGTATTTTTTTTCCCAAAACTCTATGATGTAGGTGAGCTTGAGAAACAGGGCCTATCATGTCTCCAAGCAAATTTCTATGGCAGAGAGTGAATCTTTTTGGTCCTCATTTCTATGATTGAGCCATTTTGGTTTCGATCCACCATGCTGGCTCTCTAGTGCTATCTGGAAATTTCTGGGTTATAGGGTACTTCACTGGACACCCAATACTCCTTTTCCCCTTTTCCCATCCATACCTGGGTCTTGCTCATTAGTAGTGCCCATTTTGGTTATGTAAGCAATGACCTCAGTATAAATCTTAGAAACTAAGGAAATTATTGTGCAAAAGTAGAATCTTGATGCTGCCGAGTATGGCTGTGACTTTTATAAGATAAAGAACAAATCTGAACTCAACTTGCAGTGTAATTGTTTTAGTCAGTGTGCTGCTAGGTCAAAAGGTCTGGGCTGGTGTATAAAGATCTAGGTTTTTTTTCCACTGTAATTCTGTTAAACAGGAGTACAATAAGCATATATTTATAGTAAAGCTATAAATAGTAAAGGGGACATGGTAGCTCAGTGGCTAAGACACTGAGATTGTCGATCAGAAGGTTAGCGCTTCAGCAGTTTGAATCCCTAGTGCCACATAACGGAGTGTCCCAGCTTCTGCCAACCTAGCATTCGGAAGCGCATAAAAAATTCAAGTAGAAAAATAGGAACCACCTTTGGTGGCAAGGTAACAGCGTTCCACGGGCCTTCGGCATTTAGTCATGCCAGCTACCTGACCACAGAGATGTCTTCGGACAGCGCTGACTCTTCATCTTTGAAATGGAGATGAGCACTGCCCCCTAGAATCAGGAATGACTAGCACATGTGCTAGGGAAACGTTTACCTTTACCTATAATAAAGCTAGATCTAGAAACCTATCCAGTTAAATACGTTATTCCTTCTTTCATTTGAGAATGCAGGTAATTCTTATCCCCACTTCACTCGTTCTATTATATTGTTCCCTGGGGAACAGTTTTCAAATTTGTGGGCACAAAACATGCATCCAGTCACATCTCACAAAATATTTGTTTTTACCAACACTCTGGACACTTACCAAGAGGCATCTCAGGGGGTAGATAATGAGGCTCTTGAGCACTAACATGTACCCAGTCAAAATCATCATAGGGGTCCTGATGATAATCACAGGGTCCCGGGCCATCTTCAAAGGTGCAACCTCCTGAAAGAAAGAATTGAAATCAATGCATAAGAAAAAGCAAATTATATAATTTGATGTACATATTTTTTTTAAACACAGCTTTTTGGTCAAACTATAGTTTCCTTCAGTGAGCCTCTGAAACAAAAATAATTATTCGTCACTTCTTGTCAGCAAACTGGGGCAGTCAGCATCTTTTGATGCGGCTTCTCTCTCATTCACAAATTGTCTCTTCCAGCCAGGGGTGGGCTTCAAAAATTTCATCAATGAGTTCTTTGCCCGGTTGCTAGATGGGCGTGACCATGGTGGGCAAGGCCTAGTTGGCCTCCTACACTATGGTGTGGGAGCATTTTTGTCTTCCCCAGGCCCCGGAAGCTTTCCTGGGAGGGCAAAAACTGCCTCCATCTGGAAGCCAGAAACGGGCCCATTTCTGGCCTTCTGGAACTTCCAGGAGGCCTGTTTTCCCCCCTCCCCGAGCCTCAGAACGGGCCCTGCACTTACCTCACATCCAAAATGGGCTGTGTAGAGACTCCTGGGAGGGGCGGGGTGGGATTTGGAAGCTCTCCAAACCAGCTACAGGTTCTCCCGAACACGGGCAAACCTGTAGCAGCCCACTCCTGCTTAAAGCTCTAGTAAGTGGCTACTATTATTCAGAAAGGCTGTATGAAGTAGTACTGGTATAACAATGCCATAACGAAGAACTCTGATGAAAAATTGAAGTAGTAAAACTGCAAATAGTACAAGCAAATTCTTTTCTGAATTTGCTAAGCAGTCTGGTGTCACTCTCCAGCCCTCAGACTGTGTTATGATAAAGTCAAGGTTAGTGTTGATTTTAAAAATAATTATGTTGGACATGCCATATTGAGAATACAGGTAGTCCGCAACTTACGACCACAAGTGAGCACAATCTCTTTGTTGCTAAGTGAGACATTGTGTTAAGTGAGTTTTGCCCCATTTTACAACCTTTCTTGTCACAGTTGTTAATTAAATCACTGCAGCTGTCACGGTTGTTAAGTAAATCTGGCTTCCCCATTAACTTTGCTTGTCAGAAGGTCGCAAAAAGGGATCACATGACTCCAGGATACTGCAACCAGCATAAATGAGTCAGTTGTCAAATGGGTAAATTTTGATCAGGTGATTATGGGATGCAGCAATGACCATAAATTTGAAAAACAATCATAAGTCACTTTTTTTCAGTGATACTGAAACTTCAAATGGTCAGTAAATGAACTTTTGTAAGTTGAGGACTACTTGTATGGAATAGTTACAAACCTAGTTAGTGCTCAAAAACATGTGTGTGGCATAACTCTGGAATGCCTTGAGCAATTTCAATCAAACTTTGTACACAGATGACTTACACTCTGGAGAAAAAAAACATTGTTGGGGTAAGACACCCCTAACACCCCCTCGGTGTGTGTGTTCTGTTAAGATACAACATGTTGTGCCTTAATAATGGCTTCTACTGTATAGTACAGTGGAGTTGCCATGGTAACGACTTCACATTACTCTACAAGGTGGCTCTCTCTGATAAGGAGGAAAATCCAACATTGCAAATTACATTTGGTCTGGACATTTTGCCCCTATAAATAAATACCTGGGCAATGCCGGGTTATGAGTATATTATAAAATCTCAGGAAGAACTAGTGGCAAAGTGATATAATTGTCAATGGTTTACGATTGCCAGAATTTACAATTATCATAAAGATTATATATGTAAACAAACAAACCCATACACAGAGTTTGCCAAGAAAATGTTAATATCAATAAAAACCTAAATCTGCACCACAAATACTACCAGTATCTTATAGAAGTAGAAGAGTTATAAAACATTACTGTAGCTTGTACAGTCCATCAACAATAATAGAAATTCTAATTTCCATGCCCATTTTTTAAAAAAAAAGTCTAAGATCTTTATAACCTTTTAACAGTGCTGCAAAAATTATCGAATAAGCTACGAGAAACCATAAGATGAGTCAACAGAAGGTGAAATGTATCTTAATAGTTATTTAAAGAAGAGTATGAAATGGAGATGCACAAAGTAAACAGAGAACAAATTAAGGACAACATGCCCTCAAAATACCTCCAACTATCCAATTCTTAATACAGAATTAAACACGGCATTCAGCAAAACTACAAAGAAATCCAGAATGGAATACACTAATATTGTCATTACTATAGACTCCATTTTATGTTTTTGATAAGTCTCAATCAATCATAAAGGAAGACATTGTGCACATTAATAGAAGTATCTTTAATTAGTCCATATTGCCAAGGCGGTATAACTTACAGAGAAATGTAAAACCAGATGAGACTTGGTTTGGAGACAAAGAAACCAGTAGCTTCATTCTTAGTGGTCATTTTCAATTATTCAAGAATCAATAAAGAATGAATGAAGAAAAAACTTGAATAAACTGAAATGAATGAATGAAATGATAATCTGAATTTGGGATTAACTCTAGTATGTTTCAGTCTTCCCCAACCGAGTGTCTTTTAGATGTATTAAGTACAACTTTTAAATCCCTAACTTTCTGGACCAACAGAAAGTTGAATATTTCTACCCAAAGCACTTGGAGAGGACTGAAGCAGTTGAAGTTGAAGATAAGAAATTCTATTGGTCTTCTTAAAAAACTGCTTTCTGACATACTGGAGATAATGTGGATCAGGTACAAGCAATCCAGTGGTGGGATTCAATTTTTTTTATTACCAGTTCTGTGGCATGGCTTGGTGGGTGTGGTGTGGCTTGGTAGGCGTGGCAGGGGAAGAATACTGTAAAATCTCCATTCCCACCCCACTCCAGGGGAAGGTTACTGAAAAATCCCCATTTCCTCACAATCATCTGGGATTCGGGAGGCAGAGAATAGGTGGGGGCAGGGCCAGTCAGAGGTGGTATTTACAAGTTGTCCGAACTACTCTAAATTTCCACTAGCGGTTCTCCAGAACTGGTCAGAACCTGCTGAATTCCAGCTCTGAAACAATATTGTAAAAGAATGTAGCTTCAAGGACAATAATTTCAATCATATAAATTTTGTAGCAACTATTGTGGTCTCACCCAGCATCCTTTATCAGCTGCTGGAAATTCTTATGAAAATGAAAAGAATTGTAAGAAAAGATAATATGTGATAATATCAAAGAAAACAGCTTCCTGTGAACATGTACTCTGATCTTCTATATCCAGTGGCGTTTATAAACTGTAGGCTCAAAACTAGTTTTTTAAACAGATTACAGATCAAAGGGCCAAAGCAGAATGATGTATAATAATTTCATTAGCAAAATTGGGTTCTTAATTTGTGATATCAAACAAAATGTTAGAAATGCCTTGGTGTATGATAATTCGGTATGATTACAAATGCTAATTATTTACTAATCCTATTTAAATATTTTTGAAAATGATTGAGGATGACTATGCAGAGTGGCTCAAATGTATGATATAAAACCTATTTTTGGTGACCTTTACTGTTTACTAAATCACATATACATTCATATAGTATGTATATAGAGGCTGCGATACAAGATAAAGTAGGGTATTTACATCATGAGATTATCCCTGCAATTACAATACCCTTGTGAATTTCTCTTGAAAAAGTGAAGAATATGCAAGGATGTGGGGGGGGGGAGCTAAATAAACCAATCAACATAGGCAGAGGGCACAGTAGCCTTGTTCTTTTTTCCAGGACTACTGGTTAATTATTTTTAATAGGGCAATTATTATACCGTAACAATTCAATGTTTCTTTTTGACACTTCAGATTTAAGTTTTCATTTCAAACAAACACATCGAGTCCCCGTTCCCCCCACCAAAGCAAAACAGAGAAAAGTCAATCATACATTTCACAATGTTTTTGACTACAGTAGCTGTTACTTTGGAGACTGGAGGATAGGAACAGTATAACACAAGTACAAATAGGATTGGTAAAGGAAAATCTTTGTAGTTTGAGGTTAAAATGAGGGGTCCTTGGTGTTCTTTGATCTTGGTTGTTTTCTTGTAGAATTTTCATTATTCAAACTAGGTAACATCATCAGAACTTGTAAGGATTAATCTAACAATTAAGAAAAGAACAGGACCACTCCCACCATCACTGACCAGGCACATAAATATAAACTGAGAGCAAACCCTATTCCTTACTATTTATTGATGAAGTTACCTAGTGTGGGTAGCAAAACATCTGCAAGCTCAGAGAGTATCAAGAACCCCTCATAGAGAGGATCTTCAAAATGCTAAAATTGTTGCATTACAATTTTCCTGCTTACAGCCAGGAAAGCAGGATCAAAGCCCAAATTATATCACTACTAATCAGACTTTTATATTTACAGAACTTTCAAAGGAATATAAGTTTCAAAGGACAGGAAAAAGGAATATGGATATCCTAGAACAGGGGTGTCAAACATTCATCATCACATTGTCACATGGTGTATCGCAACTTTTTCCCCTTCGCTAAAATAGGGTGGGCGTGGCCAATACATGACTTATCTGGCCTGCAAATTTGACACCCCTGTCCTAGATTATTATTATACAAAATACACACTTATTGAAATGTTTTAAAATATTTTCTTTTGTTTAGCCTTAGAAATTCTTAATAAAACCAGAAATTAAGATATTTTTAAAGTAATAAATACATCGTATTTATTTGCCTTAATTTATTAATCAAATGGTTTTATTTACTACAATATTACTCTGTATATATTACTGAAGGAAATTATGATTTTTTAAAGACATGTGGCATAATATAGTTACACAAGGCGGGGAAAAAGCAATCTTCATTCTACGCTCAATTTCCCTTATTCTAATTGTGCGGTTAGTTCATTAAAGGATTTCTTTTTGAAAATGCTTTTGTTTGTTTCTTTATGCTTAAATGGAAAGGCAGGCCTGTCAATTTATTTATTAACATGAGGGCAATTACAGAAGATTGTTCTGCACTAAAGCTATGTTTATATACCTAGGGTGGCCTGGACTGGCCATTTTTTCAGCAGTAGGTTAATTAGTTATTTGAAACAATGGTAATAGATTGCCAGGGTTGTAGTCCAGAA